CATTTCCATTAATTTATTAATCAGAATTATTCATTGTTACAATAAATTAGATTCGAAACAAATAAAATTGATTTCAATAGCAATTCGTTCAGACAGTGTTATGCTTTAGGTTTCCGGTTCGGTAGTTTTACTAAATACAATAAAATGTGATCGCTTATATTTCGATTATATTTGATTAAGGATCGTGAAATAGAAATTCTAAGATTCGTCTTCATTCATTTATTGATCAGTGAACAATTTAAGGTACAAGGATTCGAATCTTCGTAGTTCTTCGCTTGGTTTCATCTATAATTCGTAGTTCTCCGTTTGCTTTTAAAGTCTTGGAAATAGTACCAAACGAAGAACTGAATTTGATCATTCGGTCAAGGGTCATGAAATACAAATGCGAAGATTTATTTCCATTCATTTATTAATCAGAACTTAGCTATTTTTATAGTTCATTAGTACATTTTTTATTTTAGTGAATGTTACGATTCCCTCTCATAATCTGATGATAATCTTATAAGTGGCATGGAAATTGTAATGTGACAGAAGACAAGAAAATTCGTTGGATGACAGATCTCCTCTTATAATTAATCCGTGCCCCAGGTATCACGTCGATCGATAGTGTAACAGTTGAAGAAAGTAGATTTTATAGTTTTGCAAGAGTGAAATGTAGTGAAACGGATGACTTATTAGTTTGAAGAGAATTGCGCCGGTGAGAAAAGTAACAGAGGGAATTCTGGAATTTTTATGCAGCTACTAAATAATAAAATTAGTACGCTGTTAACAGTGCGCCGTGCACCGGCGGTTAAAGCTAATTTAATGATTTTCGTTATTGGCTCGAACATCGTAAAGCTATCCGAGCCCATCTGTTGCCCGCGTAGATTTTAATATCGCTCCACTCATTTGCGCCGCCTGAATCGAACCGAATCGTGACCGCTTCGTACCTAACATGCCGTTTCAGTTTTCAATTCAGCAATCATTTGTTTACAACCATTTTTCCACAGTTCGATGATTATTAACAACGTTTCCATAAATTTGCGTACGATTTGGAAATTTTCCAACTACAAATGGCAAGTGATATTTATTTTTGGGAGTGTCAGCTCTACATTAGTACCAATTTATTTTACAAAACGACTGAACAAGTGACGTTCCTTCGTTACCAGCAGGTTTTATACAAATTTTCATGTAGTTTAGCACGTTCGCTGACAAGCAGTACGGAAATCGCGTGAAATCGACGGGGCAAGGAATCAAAGGGTACAATTAAAGTCACCATTAAAGCGACATCGTCAGGCACGATCCTTTACAAACGACGCGATACCCGTGGCTGTGTTCCACTTTCAACGGGAACGTTTTGTCGCATTCGAGAGGAAGTTGGAGGCAGTACATCAAGTCGCAGGGTTGTTCAATAATTCCGCTGGGTATCGTAAAGGAACAATGAGACGAGTATTGGCCTTTCGCCGTGTCGTTGCTAGCTTTTCCTGGCGCCATCCCTCCGCCCTTTTCTTCGTCCCGGAAGAAAAGAAAGCCGAGAGGGAAGGAGGGAGGTTGACGGAGAGGCAAGTGACACCGGCTCGTTTATTAATAAGCGAAAAAAGAATATGATAAAGGGGGCCGAGGAGAAAAGGGATAGGGTTAGGGGGTGGATGTGAGTGGCGGTCGACCAGTGAGATGAAAAGGATGAGGTAGGGCGGCGGCGCAGCGCGTGACGCGGGGCTTAAGGAAGCCGCCGAATATATACGCCGATCGTTCGCCCCCGCTTTAACAATTCGCGACGCGTCCGCGTTAACAGCGTTACGACAACAAGCTCGAGTTGTAGAAACTTATAACGAGAAAATAATGAACCCGGTTCACCAGGTCTGCTTGGAATGCGAGCCAGTGTACACCCAACCCTCTCGCAAGTAGCTGTCCCCGGTCTCTCTCGGTTTCGCACCGGGTTTAACCACCCTTCCGATTTTCCACTACTTTCCCCCTACCCAATACCCATTCTAATTTTAGTCTCCCCTCCGTTGCATTTGTTCGCTTCATATTTTCGTTCTACCGATCACCTATTCGTTTCGTTTTGCTGGATTTATTCGTTCCTCTTTTTTCTTTTACGCCCAGGGAACTAATATTTGAATGTTGGGGATTCCGAAGGAAAGCAAACCGGGTAGAGAAAAACGGGACGCGGCGAACCCGAGAACGACGCTTGTATTGAACGCGAGAGGACGAATCGAGGAAGGAATTCCGTCCGTGGAATCTGCAACGAACGAACCGAAGACAGAAAAGACTGATGTCTTGTATCCTGTCCCAGAGCGATCGAAGGCGGACGAAAAAAGGGGGAAGCTACGAACAGGATGCCGTTGGTATCCGGAATGGATTACGGAATCGGATGGAATAGCGGACCGGAAAGTCCTCCTTCTCTATTCTAGCGCGACACCTCATCATTCCGCCACGTTCGCCGAGGTATCCTCCGACGTACAACGTGTTTCGATCTTTCCCCGAGGCGTGTACGGTGATTTAAGTCACTGTTTACGTTCCCGTATCTTTCGCAGCCCGAAGATCGCATGGGAATTCCGACTCCTCCCACGTAAATCTATTCCGATATTAGATCAAACATCGTTAGGTTATCGAAAATCTAACAGGAATGATCGAACTCTCTCGCAATTGATACTGATATACATAATTCTTATTTCTAGCAACGAAAATGTCTTTTATTCATTGGTGAATAATCTTAAAAGCGTTCGGGTCGTTACTGTGCGATACGAACGGTAATGCATCGTTAGACGGGACGAAAGGAAACATGGTGTAAACGCGAGATCAGATGAGATGTTCACGATGCGATGCACGAACGAAATGCTTGCCATTGGATTAGCATACTATCATTTAAACAGACATTCCGGATGCGTCATCCGGCCGTCATTAGTAGCTCTCATTGAAGGTCCATTGAAACCTGGATTCAGTCCTACAGACTAATTACAGTCCGGCGTATACGGTATCGAAAGCGAGATTGAAAGGGCTGCGAAACAAGTACCTACTATTTCGCTTCGCGTCACCCATCTACGCGTTTGGTATTGTGTACATTAATGAAACCGAACATTCTACTTTACACCGTGTACACAAGATTCTTCTCGTTTCAGTGATTCGCTTTGGTTTTATTAGATTTCGTTTAGTTGAGATACGTATTCATTTGTATTATACCTGAAGAATTGTCCATTTCAAAGCATACTCATTTCTCATTGAGATTATTATATGATCATCGCTTCTATTTTTTTATTGAAAAAATTTATAATTTAGTGTTTTATTGTATGATCTCTTACGTAATTATGACTATAAGATTTAGTAGAATTTTTCGATATGAAATTATCTCTGATGGTTATTAATTTGGATTATTTCAGATTTTTTAATGGACAATAAGTAAGTTCATTGATAAGGTTTTTAATAACGCTAGACGCTAATAGAGTTTCGCGTGATGGACGTTTATTGTTTCCGCAAAGTGTCAAGAGTCTTTCTTTGAAATTTTTGACGCCGCTGCTCGCCGGACGAGAAGGTAAAAGATAATGCATCCCAGATCAATGATGGTGGCATCGGGGTCGAGTGTTTTTATTCCATTACTCGAGCAACGCTGTCTTCCTAACCACTTACTTAACCCACACACCATCAGCCTCGTTTCCCCCGCGTTAAGGTCGGATGGTCGCCGACAACTCAAATATTGTCCGCCATTCAATTCTCTCCTCGACGCGTGAAAACGACCGTGCCGTAATACCTTCCCTAAAATGTAGATACAACACTCTAAATCTAATTCCCTGCAAGCTTGGCAGTTATCGATTTTTCAATCACCTTGATATTTCCGAAATTCATTGTTTTAGTCGATTCAGTTTTTTACAAGTATAATTGAGTTCATTCATCTGTTCGAAATTAAACAAATTATTGAGCTGAAAACCAGTTTTATAGGACAGGCAATACATGAACAGGAGAATTAAAGAATGCAAGAAATTCTATAGAAAAATTGAGGAAAGGAGGCTTGCAAGGTTTGAAATCTATGCGTCAGCTGTTTTAAGTGTTTAAAGTATCACATTGATAAATGGGGAGGTGGATCGTCGGTAGGAGAAAGTGACAAGGGGAATACATCGGACAACCAAGAGAAATACGAGCGATCCATTTGAAAAAGCACATTATGCTGGTCGGTCTCGTTATACGGGTTGTAAATAAAAAGTTCCCTGCTCGTATCTGCATTTCAACCACACCCCGGGCCATTTGCATCTCATTTCGAACGTTATATCAGTTTCATTAACGAAGTGGACCGGTTGATTGCCATTCCATCGATTACAGTTACAAAACAGGCGCATCTTATCAACTTTCAATAAGATCCTGCGTTTTACTGTGTAGCCATTCAATTACAATCACACATGCGTTAGATGAATGTTACCCGCGGTAGTAAATTTGAAAACGTTCATGGGAACCGAAACACGAAGGAACACTAGACAAAAGGACCAAAACCATCTGCACTTCGCATTTACACACAGAACAATAAAAATATATCCTCTGGAAAAATCAAACCCCCTGCATAGCACATATTAGCCATTGTTTAACATTACGGTAACCAGCCCAACAGCAATAAAACAATTTTACTAACAGCCTGAATCAAAGTAAAGGTAGAAAAAATGTGCAATATAAATGTGCGCAGCAAATCCGGACAAAGGGGTCCATATTCCCATCACCGGAAAATCATAAACAAAGTATACCTGATTTTTTAACTAAGAGGATTCGGCCATTCTCGCACAAAAGTACAAAGTGTTGAAACTACTTTGAGATATTCTTCTGCTGTATTTGTATTTGTTAATAGTAATTAGTAAATTATAGGTGCTGGAATCCGCATTCAATCAATTAACATTTCTATCTCGATAAACGTAGTCAGTGATACTGATAACAATCGGAACAGAGAACAATCTCTGTTTGACTCGGTTCTCAGTGCATCCCATAATCTGATCATTGACTCGCATTCGTTAAACACAGTGAGATTGAGATTTTTCTTCTGCATACAAAAATGTGCATTTGCATATATGAAGGGAATATAAATACATATGTGTATGTAATAATATTACGAATCTGATTTATTCTAAGCATTGTTGGAATAATAACGCAGATAACGATATTGTATACATATAGTTATGTCCTTTTGCAAGAGTTTCGCGTACTCGGAAAACGTATAGTCAACAGTAATTTACAAGTGTAATGGACGTGTCGGAATCCGCACAGTTGCCAAAAATAGTATGCTCGTTCAGAAATGTGTCCTCACGTTACATTGCAATTAACGAATCAATTTAACTTTTATTATTCATACACACGATACATCTACATGCAATAATAATAAGAGCAAAAATGAATGCATGCAAAATAATGAACGTTGCATCAGTAATACATTTGTATGAATTTATTATATTAAATATTGCTGTATTTTTTAAACATTTGTTAACAGAATCCATTAGGAAAAAATGGTCAACGGGCGTCGTCTGTATTACTCGTTCGTCGGGAAGTGTTCTCCGGTACTCGCGAAGAGGTACGGCGGCGTGAAGTGGCACGATCAGAGAGAACAGGAGAAGAAACGCGCAGGTGGTGGCGTCGTCCGAAAACGGCCGCGAAGGATAAGAGAAACCGCGAGGGTTCGTAGGCCGCCGAGGGGTGCAAGTATAGTAGTCGCACGTGTAGGCGGAGCGATGCCGCGCGTCGCGTCGACCGAGCGACGCCGAGCGTCCTGCCCCTAAAACGTCGGGTGGGGAGCAGTGGTGAACGCAGTTCTCAACGGGTCGTCGAGACGGTGTTACGGTGTACGCGTCGTCGCGAGGTACCGGCGAGTCCTAAGACCACGTGATCGACCTTCATCGGCGTATAAAGTCGTAGCGGTTGTTCTTCATTGCGTGTCGGGCGTCCTTCGATATCAGTCGGTCACTCGTCTTCAAACGCAGTTCTTTTATCGCGCAATGACAAATTACCGTCGAATCGATTCCGGTATTGATTAAAAATCGTGTTTCAACCCTCGGTCGCGAGTGATTGAAAGCGTAGTGATTCTAATCACGTGTACGTCGTTTTTCGTGTGTAATCGTTTTTCTGTTCGTTAGAGTCGTAGTTAATTTTGATTTTCTCGTCGGTGTCGGTTTTAAAGCACGGACTCCTGGACATGATAGAGGAGCGTAGTTAACTAAACACGTGAGTCTTGTGTGATACAACGTGGACGGCGTTCAGTGCTTAAGGGTGTTCAAGGTGGAACCAATGAAGGAATAAGAATGACACCACTGGACGGGTAGAGGAGGTTCGAGGATTCTCGAGCTCGAGGAAGGTTTAAGGTAAGTGTTTCATTTTTATGTACTCTGCGTGATGTTTTACACGGTGATATATAAAAATTATTAATTGAGAAATCAATTCTCTTATGCCCGTAAATAACGTAATATCTTTTTTATATATGAAATTGTATTCAGGATTTGCGTTTTAGAATTGATGCAATAAATGCAATTCAAATTCGTGTGTCTAAGGTTCAAGAATATGCAGATTTACTTATTCAAATAGTGAAACATTTCTTAAACGTGTGTAAAGCATTGGGGATAATTTTCTACGGAGCTTATTCAAATAGTACGTATTTCTAATACCATGACTGCTGTTTGAAACTATGTAAGCTGGACCGTAAAAAAGTAAGAATTTTCCGGAATCATTTTCTGCGCGATTAACTTTTCACGATGGAGAAACTTTAATCGTGTAACGCTTCCACTTCTCTGGATAGAAAGGATTCAAAGCAGAGACACGCGGAAAGATCACAAACTCCGATTGTCTGCTTCTTTTTTTTCTCTCCCCCTTTCCCTACTTGAAACAGTCGGTTCGTAGTTGATGGGCAGGTGTGCAGCGTCCGGTTTGTTTTCCCTTCGTTTTTCTCATTCCCCCCTCATCCCCGTTTATTTACTCGCTCATGCTATTTGAACAAAAGTCACTGTCGCTGTCCATGGAAGTGGATGGATTACTCGGTGTTTCTGCATTGATTCTGCTTCTCCATAGCCTTAATTGAGGTTCTAAATCTGGACAAGCGCTTTTACGCTTCCTTTTGCGACAGTACTTTGTTGCCGCGCGTACCGGCGAAACCCGTTTCTTTCCTCCACCGAAATTACACTGTGTAATCCTTTCCTTTTATGGTTTTTACTGCGCACTAAAAGCTTTTTTGTTTTCTTCTTTTTAATTGCGTTGCTATATAGGTGTGGCTACCTACTATCCGCGCCACAGTGTTTAAAGTTCCGCGAGTACGTGAAGCAAAATGAGACGGAAAAGCGTAATGTAGTAGCACTGGCGTGTCTTGTCGGCTCGTAAAGTCTGTAGTCATTCATCGTTTATGACTCTTAGTTTAATTATTGCCCCTCGTTAATGGTTACTTCCTGCGAACTGACTTTATATCTTAGCTTGTACAATTTTTATTTCACCTCTGCAGCCGCTGTTTTTCTTCATTTTATTTCATATTTCGAATTCGCATATTCTTCGACATAAAACAATTGAATCTATTAAAATGATATCGAATCTTTATACTGAAGCTGCACCGGTTGCTACAGAAATTGAAACAATTTTATCGATCATCCATAGATCGGATCTATCGTTTACCAATGATGAGAAACGACTTTAGTTTTTTACGAAATATCTTGGGAATTCATAACTTCGTAAAAATGTGTACGTCCAATGTTTGTATCGGTTTAACTTGGCATTAAATTTGCAGTACCGCCGATCGGGGTTGCTGAATTTTTCCTCAAACAATTTTCCACTTACGCGTTCTAGGAAATACATCTGAAAGGGAGTAAAAGATTCAAAGTTCTATTTGTATGCGGCTCACGTCTCGGTGGCACATAGTTTTCTGACCACGAAGGAGCTATGCAAATATCCAATACACCGGGTTCGTGGGAGTTTCGCGCGTAGAGGCTCGCGAAACTAGCACAGGGATCAGCGGGAAACATGGAAACGTACATACGTATAGTTCAAAAAGCGGGCCAAGGAACGTGGGGAACGCGACTATTGGACAGGGGAAAGAAGGGGGGAAAAAGGAGAAAGCCGGAATCGTTTTAAACTACCATCTACTTCACATTCCTGATTTCAGTTAAGCTGCTTTGTTTATTTCCTTTTTCGGCTTGGTGCATTTGTAGAATGCGATGCATCACGGGTAAGGGTGGGAAAGGGATACCGGAAGACGCCGTCGCCTTTTAGGCTATCAACGACAGCGAAATTTCGCCTTGTCCCTTATTTCCTACTTTCCGCTCCATTAGAACTGCCGCTTTAATCATGCTTTTTCAATTACCATTTATTCCAACTGATTCGCGTGCATCGATAGCCGTAACTTTAATGAAAGCCCCGGAAAGTATAGTTGCTCCGAATAGCTCGATTAAGTATCAGGGTTTGATTCCTTTCTGGGTTATTAGCTTTTTTGTTACTCGCAGCGAACGACCTTGTTACCATTTTTATTTTATAATACTATTGCATTGCATTAAATAGCTTAATTTCGAGTATAAAGGATGTATGCTGTAGGAAATCTGACTGCGTTTTATAAAAAGCGATGGAGAAGTCACCTTTTATTACCGTTTGTAAAGCAACAAAAGGCCGGCTGTCGTTGATAGTGAGCGATACGGTATCGTCCCATTATTTTTAAAGAATTTCACGTGTCATGCGTCGAGTTTGAAAGGCATAAAATTGATTTATGCTCACTTCGCGGAGCACATTGTTTTGATCTCTTTTATAAAACAGTGAATATACAATACACATACATATACAGAGGCAACGAGATTAAACAGGGAAAGAACGACGCGTTTGTTACAAAATCAGTAAGCGAGTACAATGTGTTTCATTATACGTAAATTAAGCAATCACTTCTGCGATGATTAATACCGTTCCATATTTTACAATGCGAACGGGGATATAAATAATTCATTTCAAGTTGAGTTTTATGATAATAACCCGAGGAATCAAACGAGACCCTTTTGCACGTCTCGATAGAGTCCGCTGAGACGTTAATTTAGCTAGGATGGAGCCGGTCATTAAGGTTGTGATGAATGAAACGCGTGCACTTCTGAATGCCACGCGATTCTTGTTCCCGGCCTGATGGAGAGGCAAAAATATTTCACTGTCGCCTCGCGTCTCGTCGCCGTAACGTTCTACCAAACTTTTTCCGCCGACTTTCGCTACTCGCGAATCGTTCAACGCGCCGGGATTAAATCACGTTTGAAGGTTCGCGTCCAACTTTTCCTCGATAACCTTGCACGAACATCTGACGAAATTAATTTTTCCGGGATTCCCTCCACGATTTTTGGCAACGCGCCCGCAATGTAATGCTCATTATCAATCGCCATCGCGGCGATTTGCGGCTTTCCCTGGCTCGATTTTCTATGACGCAATCGTGCCAGGATGAAAGTAAGGGAGAGGGCGGTAGGACCTCAAAGAGGGAAATCGTTTAGCACGCGATCTTCTCGTAATTCTGCACGCCAGTTTCGTGCCACGCTTTGTCTTCGTCTACAGCTGACGCGTTACACGTGTTAGATCGTTTCCACGCTCTTCTTTGACTGGCTGTTATTATCATACCAAGCCTCACCCTAATTGATCAACCGTTTGTTAGTGTATCGTTAGGGAAACTGTTAATACAATGCTGGTACAATTGCAAAAAATATTTCATGCAACGTTTCATAATGATTGATCAATGTAATAATAACTAATATTTAAGGGGATGAACTTTCTACGATGGAGAAACTTCAAGCCTCCACTTCTCTGAATATAAAGGCGGGAAATAGCGGGAAAATCACAAACTTTGATTGTTCCTTTCTTTTTGCTCCGCCGTTTCTTATCTGAAATAGTAGGTTCCTAGCTGGTGGACAAGTGTGTAGCGTCCCTCGTGTCTTAAAATAAATCCTCATAGGTAATATTTGCAGTAATACGGATTATTATAGGGTTTGAATTTGACGGAAGGGTTGATTAGACGCGCTTTATTTTAAATATCTCGCATTTTGCCGGGACGAGTAATTTTTCGCGAAGAATACAACGTAATGAGCGCATTTAAGCGGGAGAACTGGGCAATTTCTTGCTATTCCGAAGAATTCCGTAGGAGCGAACGCGAAGCTTAAAAGCCGTGGCTTTCTTGCAACGCGGATACTCGTTGAAAGAAATTTCCGACTCTAAAGCTGGGAACTTAGTATAAAACGCGGGGGTCTATGATGGAGGTGAAAACAAAAAGGACATATGTATCTCCGGCCGAGACTCGGCGTGGTAGGTGCCTCGAGATACAGCGGGTGTTTCGAGGAAACTGGAGCGAAAGTTGTTTTTGTTCGACGCTGATTTTATGATAAAAGCCACGAATTATTCATGCAAAGTTTCCCGTTACGCTTTGTTACATAAATTCAAGTTATATCTACGAGCGTGTAAAGTAAAATTCGAATTATAGAATGAAATGCAAACGGACAATGTTTTTTTTTTTTTTCTCCCTCTCCCGTATGATACAGTTTCATTTAACAGATTGATGATCACGCGTACGAAGTTGAAGTGGATTTCGTGGAAATGAAAAAGCTTATTAAAACAAAGGCTGTGCTTCGGAACGGGAGGTTTCGCTTATACAAATATACCGTGATTTTTAAAGGAATTGTTCCCTAAAATAATAGGTTAACTAGATTCGGCCTAAAACAAAGTGCGAGATTGATCGTTACGCTGTTTGTCTGGAAATCAACCGCAATATTTGCAAACTCAATTGCGCGGGTGCTGTTCTAACGGGACAGTTTTGAACGCAATGTCACGCACAAACGTGTGAACAGATGCATATGCATGTCCCGGGACAGGAATCCTTTCCTATCGCATTCCTCTACGTCCTCACGACAGGCTTAAATTGATTCCGTTTTTCGATATCACTGAAATATGTTTCGGCAGGCCGTTTCAAAATTGTTTCCGAATTTAATTGAACGCCACGTCGAATGTGAATTTCGAAACAGAAATGAAACATAATCAATTAAAATCGTAGAGTGATTTAATAAAACTGAAAAAAAAGAAAAACGACAATCTATGCATTTATATAAAGTGATTAATATTGGATTATGTATCGGTTCGAGGAAACGTCAGAGTGTCAATCTCGTTTTAAATAATTCACTGTTGAATATGTGTTATCGACAGAAATTCAAATGAAAATTCGGTGTCCCAGTTGACTCTCTTGTCCCTCTGGAAACAGCGTATGTGACCATGATGATGACCGCGGCTAGATATACCTACGAATGCAACTGCATCGGTTCTCTTTTGAGAGAGCGTCGAGTGCACTTTTCTGCATCGAAATTCATAGGTAGGACGAGCGGATCAA